AGGCTGTCCTACCATTCAGTTTTCATGTTCCATCCCCCCATTTGCCAAAGGGAAAGTGTTGAATGGGGAGGGGAGCTGCTCCCTGGAAGCTCTTGTGTTTCACATGGTAGCTCAGAGTCATCTCTGAAGAAAGAGAAATGCTGCGCTGGAGAAATAGCGATACATTTGTTTTCAACTTTAGAGGCTGAAATGAAATTAAGTGTTAATGTATTCCAAGCAATGAAATCAGATTTGCTTACTAATCTGGATTGCATCTCCTTTTTTCCCCCTTCACAATGAAACCAGCGGTACCAGTAACTGCCTGCGTCACCTCTTCCTCCCTTTCCTGCTTGCAGCCCAATCCGGCCGTGCTCCTGCAGGAGAATTTCCCAGGAGGCTGGCCTGCGGCAGGAGGAGAGGGAGGTCAGGACAGCAAGAAAGGAGATTAGGAACATGAGAATTGGGAGAAAGGCAGCAGTGACTTGTGATCCAGGAGAAATGTGCCTGCTGTTCTTTAAAGCACTTCTCTCAGGTTTTTTTTTTCCCTCAAAAAGGGCATCAGGGCCTGCTTCTGCATTTCAAAGAGAATTTGGGCTGAGCAAGGAGGGCTGGCTCCGCCTTCCTCTCCAGGTGAGGTGGAGAGAGGGAAATGTTTGGTGTCAGCAGGGAAAAATCCCTTTTTTATCAGGTAATTCTGTCACCTTCCCAGTTTACCCTGTCCCTTCCCTGGCCTTTCCCTTTCCTTGGGAGCCCTCCCTCCAAAGGTGACCTGCCTTAACCCGTACCTTCCTGCTGCTCTTTAGTCTGCGGAGCACAGTTACTGCTAAAGAGTATCAAAACATGCTATTAACTCTCTTCTGCTGTCAAATTAACTTGTTACCAGGGGATTTTAACTTGCCTTCTTCATCAGGAGGAGTAAAAATAGTACAAATACGTTATTTTGCCTTCAGAACGACATTTCTTATCTATCGATTTAAAGAATTCTGCATTTAAAAAGGAACAAGTCAACTTAATTTGTTTAGGGGATACTTAAAGGTTGAGAACAATTTTATATCAATTGGATTTAGTGATAATTCATTTATGATGGAACTAATATAATTAATTAGGTAGTTGCTGCTTATCTTTTTTCTAATACATACATTGCTTTTAAACATCTGCTCACCAGTCCATTATGACAGCACAAGAATGATTTTACATGAGAGCAATAGAGGAGCAGATGCTTCCTGATGACAACTTCCCAGTTTGTTTAGGAAACAGTCAGTGAGTCCTGGATTCACAGTTTTAACTTGAAGCATGGTAAGCATGCAAGCAAATTTGCAAAGCAGAAACAAAAACTTGAGAAATCAAATTACTTCATAACATTTTGTAATGGTTGCAGTTTGGTCAATGCCCCTTTTTTGTTAATGTTTCTATTTTATTTTTTTTAAGCACAGATATCTTTTTTTCGCCTTTACAAGATCTGAGCAAAATTATGAACTTGTTTTGTGATGTGTGTACATGTATGAATATTTTACAGCAGTTACAAAATCTTCTGAAGTTAAAATTGATTTCAGTATTGTCTATTACAGTAACTAAAATTCATCGTTAGCTCAAAAAGAAACAGAACAACAGTATACATAAAAAAGGAAAGTAGAACAATTACTTGAAGAATAAAGTTAAATAGGCTATCATATGACAGATTAAATCAAAATTCTGTGTGGTTTTTTTTTTGTTTTAATAAGTTACTCCTGTGTTTTATATTTATGACTTTATCAGTAGTTGGTTAAAGAGTAAAAAATAAATCCCTTCTTTTTGGCTGATACAAAAATCTCTAAGGCTCCATGGCTTTATTCAGCCATGCATAGATTTTTAGATGTTCCAGAGATCACCTAAAATGACTGTACTCATTTTATTCATCTCATCAGCAAAGTTCATCTCATCAGTTAGAAAGATACCATCAAAACTTTTAGGATCCAAAATGTACTTTCCCTGCATAAATACAGTGCGTCATACTTAGAGAGACTGTAAAGTACAGGATTACACATCAATGCTGTATCTTTTTATGTAAAAAGTCTTGAAACTGCTGTTTACTGAAAGGAATGGGGATTACAGGTAACCCTAAGAAGGATTCAGCTATCTGCCTTTGTATGCAAATCACAAATACAATGCGCCCACTTGTCACTAGAAACAGCAGAAAAAGAGATCTGAGTATCAGAAACTTACTTTGAATAAGTGTAGAAACTTTGTAGTAGACCAAAGTCCTTCTTGATACAGAGCACAAGAATGTCGGTTTCAAAGCTTCTTTGAGCTTTGTATTCAGCTGAATGCTTGATTTCAGAAACTGCTTAAACTGTCGGTCAAAAAATCCAGCGTAATGCAAAATAAATGTGTCCAAAGATAATCTGCTCTCTAAAAGAGGAAAGCGATAAAGCTGCCTTCTTACCTTCTCTGCTGCCTCTCCTGCCATCAAACTATGCACATCTTCTGGGAATGCCACTGGATAAAATCACCTTTCTCTGGAAGTAATAGGATGTTTTAGGAAGTACCTCACTGTCTTAGCATCTGTCTGGTAATGGCAGAAATCCTTAAGGTTTCTCAGTGGCCATCTCAAGGAACAATGAAATTAGAAAGAACTCTCCTTTGCTTTCCTTTTCCTAATCCAGAAAATGAATGTAGAAGTTGTTTACCAGCTGATATCCATGCTAACCCAGTAAATTGAATTCTTAATGATGAAGTTGTTCCTAGCTTAATTTATGACTTTCTGAGATAGTAAGTAAGGTTTTTATAAAGCATGTTTTCCCTGAGGGTATACAGGTTTGGAAATTTCATTTTTGAGTGAGCATTAATGTATTTCTTTTCCTAAGTATTTGGAGGTAATAAAGAATATGGCTTCTTTATCATTCAGTCTAAAATAGTCACATATTAGATATCAGTATTTATGTGAGGGTATACAGTCATTTTACCCTTATATACAGTAAGCAGGAGAGAGAAGTATGTGTATACATACAGCTTTTTCTAGAACAATAGTGTTTAATACATGAACAGGCAGTCTTCCCATTTCCAGGACAAGTATTTTTTTAGGGCAAGGTAAGCTAGTGACTAAGCAATACCCAAGGTCATAATATCTGATGAAACGTTAATGTCTGTAAAGCAGTATGATTTTGCTTCCAGGAGGTTGATCTGAAAGGGTTTTGTGAATTTTAATGTATCAGAATATGGACTTTTTCCCATCCCTATAGACTTGAAAACCAATCTAGTTGTTTTTTGTTTTCTTTCACCATGGGCTGCTGCTGTTCTTTCTTTTTCTATTCTCATTAAAGCATTGAAATGTTACCAATTTTAAAGAAAGTTCAGCTTACTATAGAGAAGAGATTTCTGTTTTCCTCAAGAGATTTTTTAGTCTGTATTTCATATCTGATCAGAAGGTATGACATGTGAGGAGGAAAAGAACTTGCCTTCTTAGTCTGTTACATGTTTGCATGGGAACTGGGCACGGCATACCTAACTCTGCCTGGCTCGTGAAGTCAGATACAGTAATCATCATTGTCCCTTCTGGCATGTTGTCTTTAGTATCCCTTCACATACAGTTTTTAAAACTAGGTTAACACAGAAAGCACTTTCTTTAATGTTCTCTTTCAGTGCTTTAGATATCTGTTTCCTGATAAGCTGAAATCAACCATTCCTGCAACTGCCCAGAATTTCCCAGAAACCTTCTGTTCTGTGAGCATCTATGATTTTCTTATGTAATGTCTGAAAATGTATTTACAGTACCTTGGTCTGTGGCTTCCCAAGGTCCGGGCTTTCCATTTGTGAATCTGTGTGCCTTAGCAGCATCTGGTTGTCTAATACACTGAATTTGGGGAAAATCACTTTTACGTGGGCTATAAAAAAAAAAAAGAAAGTATTTAATGTGTCATTAGTGTTATAGTTTATCAGTTCTTATATCTCTTTATAGATCGATTCATTGCTGAGTTGAATTAAGGATGTGAGATAAAAATGCAAAATAGCTTTAAATTTCTTTATGTTAAACCAGCATAGTGTTCAAAGGATGCTGGTTCTTCTTTCCTGTTCAGTCTTTTTTATTTTGCTTGGACAGAGACAGTGAGCCAATATTCACAGTTGCTTGGCAATAGTCAAGTTCTGAAACGCACACCCAACCTGTGGGGCATTATGGTTGCTTAGTTCATGCATGTAAATTTGAGGGTTTGAAAACTGAACAAGTCCACACCTATAGTGTCTTCTTGGAAAGTTTATTCTAACATTTAATCTTAATGGCATTATTCATTTAATGGTTTCATTTTCAAAGCTGTTGAGTATCTACAATTTTTAGAAAAGTCAAAACAACTGGGTTCTTAGCACTGTTTGAAGATTTATTTGAAATGTTAGGACATCTGTGCTGCAACTGGAGTATATCTCAATGCAGTTAGTTCTATCTCTTCTGATTTATTTGAAACCTACACTAAACTTAACTTACTTTACAACTGAAATACACATTAACAGGAAAAAATTATCTCCATTTTAGAAGTATTATTAGCAAAAATCTCTGGCAAAAGCCTTTAAAGAAAGTAGAGCAGAGAATTTTTGATGGATACATTTGGTTTGTCTTTTGGCAAGCAAAAACAGATTATTTAAGGATACACTTTTAAAATTGTCTACACTAAAGGTAATGAGGAAGTATGCAACTGTAGTCACCTTATTGTACCAGTCATTGTGCTGTAAAGATTTTAGAGAGCTTTTGTCTCTTGCTTACAAAAAAAAGCAGCCTGCACTTAGAAAGACCTCAATTCTGCATATGCTTACACATAGTTCACGGTTTATGGAAGTAAGTCTGTAAGATGCCTTTGTAGGTTTTGGACTTTTGTGATTTTCTTGCTAGCATTGAAAAATTCCTTTGGGAATCCAAATGAGTAGTGCTGTGAAAGGGGTGATTGCCATTATTTGTTCCGTATATTTATTGAATTTATTACAATAGTAGTAATTACTTTTCCCCTGATACAAATAAAAAACTTGATGTATTACTGTGTTCATGTTTGTTGTTTTAGGAGGCTTTGGATGACTCTCAAGTAGCTGGAGTTTGTGCAACAGAAGAAGTGATTCGCTATGAATATCACGTCTTGTACTCCAGCAGCTACCAAGCACCTGTGCTTTATTTTAGGGCGTGCTTTTTAGGTAAGACCAATCTTCTGTTAGGCGAAGGGAAGAATAAAAATAAGTTGGATGCAATAGATGTTAAAACCACAGATTTTGTATTAAATTGAGGAACAGAGTAATGATCATATGTAATAGGAAAGTAAGAGATGAGGCTGTTCACCAGTAAATTTTGTAATACTCCAGACACAGAGTTTCAGGACCTTGGAGTAGATGATATCATCTCAGCCTGAAGGAGGCTGATCTTTGGCTCCTGGCACCTTGCCTGTGGTTGACTAAAACTGCTGGTCATTTTTCTTGTTCGTTTCGTTAAATGAATACAAAAGCTTAAAGCTGCAGGTTTGAATTTGGCTACAAAATAAGTGGACATAATTACAGTGCTTCAGCAGAACACTGTCTGTTTCTTTGGAGCCTGAATTTGAGCCACAAGGCTGGGGTCTAAATGTACCTTTACAAGTGTATGCTGTTTTCTATTTAAATTTGCTGCTTAAAAAAATCCCCAAACCTATAAGGTATTGCCTTTTTCTATCTATTAAAACCAGCTCTTGAAACACTAACTGGTCTTCTTTCCTCCCTGATATGTACATCTTGTCACCCATTACTCAATTGCTATAGCCACTGTGATTTCACTCACCATCCTGTCAGGAAGGAAGGAGGAACACACAGCCTCCCTCCAAGGCTGCTGTTAGTGTCACTTATTTAATCAGAAAACATAGAGTGATCACACTGCAGCACTGGCTGTACTCTGTTCCTCTCTGCCCAAGGACTGTGTACCTAGGGCGGAGGGATTGAAATCTTCAAGTCATTTCATTCAGTCTCCTGCATGGTATCATGGTCATCAGCATCTTTTGTGTTTTGAATAACCTCCTAACTTTATCTAGATAAAGATGTCTGAATGTTGCCAGTGATATCTTTTCCTTTTTAATTAAAAAGTAGCTTAAGCTGCTTTGAATGTGTTTGGTAGATTTAATCACTCTCTGCCTTATATTGTTTAATGGTTTCTAATTTTGCAGTGTTAGCGTTTTAAAAGGCACTTTAGATTTAAAATTGAAGAACAAATTCTCATAGACTCCCTGGTGGAAAGATTTTAGTCTGAGGTGCAGTTTCAGGAATGGATAATTTGGGGTAAATTTTCAAACTGGGACATGGGGAATTGGGGACATTGCTCTGCCTTTTACCACCAACAGAACTCATTTGCACGCATCCTGCTGCAAATTTATTTCTGGAATTATTACAGGCATTTACAAATGTGCAATGTTTTGCCTTTAAACTTATTGTGCAGACAGGAAGATAAAGAAAGTTTTGCTGTAAGAGACAGATTAACCTATTTGTGGTCCTGAAAAATGACATCTTCTTGGGTTTAGCTGAATTAATAGTGCACTGTCTCTACAGAAGAGGATGGAGATGCTGCAGGTAGAGGAAATAGGACACTATTTCTACTGTACTGTACTTTCATATAATTAGTATTCACCATAAGCAGTTAATCACCAGAGAAGAGCTCCCAGAGACAAAACAAGTTGTTTAGCTTGTCAGCATCAGGGAATCGGAGGTGTTGAAACATGACTCCTTATAGCTGGAAGTGGATATTACAGAAGCTAGTGGATGATCTAATGCACAGTCGTAGTATTATGTGCCAACAGCTCCCCTTGCAGTACAAAACTGTAATTGTTCCTACAAGTACAATTATGTTTTGAAACACTTCTTGGGAATCTTTCACAATGGAAAACAAGTACTTTTTTAGATAATTCGTAAAGTCACCTGGGTTCTCTTCAGCATTTAACATTCTCTTTTAACATTTAACATTCTCTGACTCTTGAAGAGAGAAGGATACAAAATGCTGGCAATAAGTATTTTTCCTATAATGTTTTGAGCTAGTATTCTCTGATTTTACTTACGGATAGCTTACTTTCGAAAAGGAAAAATTCTGTTGCCCCTGCAAGTTGTTTGCCCACCTGTGCTGCACTGTCTGAAGGTCCCAACATGGGGTTTTCAGGAATGTGCAGATGACAGTCACTCACAATCACTTGAGATATCTGACAAAAGTACCTTTTGGCTTGTCCTGAAACTGGTATAAGGAAAACTCCAGGTGATACCCTGAGATTTTTTTCCTTTGAGGTAATAGTCTTCATGTCCTAGGCTCCTTACCTTGTTTCTCAGACAACTAGTATTAATCAGTGCATTCCTCATCTGAAATAATCGGGGAAGAATCTTCTGAGACCTACATCAATTTCCCAGTCTAAATTCCTACCATTATTTGTAGATTAAGTAACAGAACCGGTTCCTCACAAGTCTCTTGTGAGCTGTTCATGGTTTCCCTTGAATCCTGTCCATACTGATCTTCACGTTAATTAGAGCTTGTTGCAGGAGGTGAAGGTGAGCTGTAATCCTTCCAGTGTTTCCACAGCCCTGCCCTGTCTTGCCTTCCCCAGCAGCAGGGCACAGAGTTTGAATTCAAAACGCTGCTTCCTCTCTGGCAGTGTGTTAAGTGGCCATTACACCTCGAGGGCTGCCTAGGAAATAATAATTCTTCTGTTCGACCTGACTAAGTAGTTTTGCTTGTTTTGCAATATTCACTTCCTCGCTTTGTATGTTATAATAGCAACTGGTGCCAGACTGTCCAAATCTGTGCTCTTCCAAATAGCTTCTTCAAAAACTTTTCTAGAGCAATTAAACCCTGCCTTTCTCCCACCGTATGTGAGTCCAGTTTTCATTGACTTGGTCTCTTACAGTCCCTCCTAGGAAAAAGGCTCCCAGCAGAGTTGCTGGGGAGATCTTGCTATCATCTTCAGCGTGGTTGGCATCTTCAGGAGCATGTGTCAGTGAGGACATCCAGTTTTCATTCCTCTTTGCTAGCTCAAACATTACAGACCCATTCTTCCTGCAGAAGGGCAAAAGTTGCATTGTATCCTTATCCTTGCTTCTGTCTAATTTGGATGAAATAGCTTATTTTGTGGAATTCATCTTTAGACTTTTTTTTTTGGTGAGATGAAGTTTGATATGTAAGGTAGCATGAGCTAAGGGTTTGAAATCTTAATTGCAACAGAACATTTTGAGAGACATCTAAGCTTTTTGGTAGTCTCTGGGGATAGGTGTACAGGGAAGATCTTGTTCTGTGCAAGGTCAAATACTTCAGCTGGAAATAATGATTAAGTGTGATGAATATGTCTGGAAAGATGTTTGGGAACATTATAGAATACAATAAGATATTTTTAGGCTACATATATATATGTAAGGAACATTTTTCACTACGTCATGATACTTACCATGTGGCATATATCCCTAATTTCAGACCTACTGAAGTCCCAGTCTGTGTCAGGAGCTCAAGGCAGTGGTCTTCAATACATCAGAGTCTTAGACAACTATGTTTCCTTTCTCCAAAATCAGTCTTATGCATGCCATACATTTCGGAAATGGGAGCCCTTCTTCCTTTCTCTGGCTTCTGAGATTACCAAATAGGTAGTTGAAGAAATGCATGAACCCCTGCTGATATCTGATGTCAGCAATTAGCCCTCTTAGAGACAGATGGTATAGGCAATTAGCCTTCCCCTTCAATGCTGGCATCAGCCAGATGGGCTGGGCTAGGTCCAGTAAGCTTTCTTTAATCAGCAGAGTGTTTTCCCCTCTTCTTAGTCTTTAAGATGTCAAGGAACTTTGGTCTTTTCCTGAACTGTCATTGTCTAAAGCCGTACATTCAAAAACCTCTTGCACCGACAGTGAGGTAGCAGCAACACAATCACAGGTGGACACAGGCATCATTCAGGAGTCACTTTGCATGTTAAGAAAACAATGCCTTGTCTCACGCTTCTCTTCTTATTTTTCCAACAAAGGTAAAGGAAGAATCATGAATGCTGGCTAAGCATTGAAAAGAAAGAGCAGAATTAATGGGAGTCAGTAAGGACTGCAGCCTAACTCCTCCAGAAAAGGAATGGGATTTTCGAGTTGACCTGCTCAAAATACGACTAGCTCTCTGACATATAGATAAATCCCTGCCAATAAAAATCATGCTAATCAGTGGTTAGAGAGAGGGAGCTTATAAGATAATGTAACTTCCTTCAGCCCTGAAGGCATGACTTTCTGTATTCATAACCATACCGGGCCTGACTGATGCTCTTTCCAGAATATAGACTTACTCCCTGAACTCAACAGCATGTAACCACTGTGTCCATTCTTAGAGAAATAGTTCCTCTTAAGACCATGTCCCACATGAACCTGTTTTATCATGGCTTTGGACATAAATAAAATGGAATAATTTGCATAGTCAGATATTCTCCTAAGCTGTAAGGGTGTTTTTCTTTTGTAGGGGTGGTTTCTTAAAAGTACAAAAACCGAATATTTCTTTGGAAAGTATGCCAGAATGAAGCCTCAAAACAATTTGTGCACCATTTCACCAGAAGTGCCGAATAACCTTTAATTAGAAATCTAAGAAATAATTAAAAGCCCTCAGTAAACATGAAGAAAACAGAATACAGCAACTTAAAAAGCCTGAAATTTTTCTCTGAAAAATGTATGTGAAATTTCTATGCCTGAAGAATTTCTGCTTTTTGCAGAAATTAAGGTGCCAAGTCAGCTGGGAGCTACAACTCATGTGTCATCTTAATGCCACACCTTGCTGCTGTGAGGGGGCACTCAGCCATCTGCTTTTTAACTATATATTTGTGGTGACATAAATGAGTTAACCCCAAATGGACCGTCGAGACAGTTTAAATAATAAAAATCTGAGTTTGTGATAGAAAAGCTGTAGTTGTTCTTGCCTGACTGTTAAAGCAGATGAACTAGTTGATTAAAGCCCATAGTTTGTTAATGGCAGAGGCAGAACCCATACTTAGGAGTTCTTGACTCCTATCCTTTATCTCCTTTCTCTCAACAAAAATCTTAGTTGGTTACTTCCCAGGCCTTTTTGGCCTTTCTTGCTGGGTAGGTGTCAATTTTATTGTATCAGAGCCTGCATTTCAGAGAGCCTGGGTTAGTACTGATGAGTTGATGGTATGTCATGTGCCAGACTGGGGCATTATACGCATGGAGCTTCAGTCAAAGGTACAGTAAATCTGGCATGACCCACAAGCAGCTATTTCCTTTGACTCTCTGTGATTATTTAATGAGCTGAATTACACAAAACGTACATATGACCACAAACTTCCACTTCTGTCTGCACACATGCTCCCAGCTAGACTTGGGGTAGGACTTGGGACAAGCAGCAAGCACCTCAGCAGCTGTGTCATGAGTAAATGTACTGCTGGGTGAATCTGAAGCCTCTACGTTCCTCTCCTGCCACTTCTCTTGGCTTGATGCTACTTTTGCCTTCTTTTTCTGGCTGAACTTTTTGAGTTCAGCTCCATCACGGGAAACCGTGAGACAAGAAGTGGAGAGGCTGCTTGGCTCAGCAGGTGCCACGGTGGCCCCTTGTTGCTATCAGCAACAATTACAGACTGCTCTGTCAGCCCAGCTGGAAATCTGAGGTCTCAGTGGGTTGCAAGAATCTATAACAGGGCTGCTAAATGTGGGAATGCTGGCAGCCCTGGAAAAAGGGGTCTAAAAGTGCCCAAAGAATACAGATATGTGTTTTGTGCAAATCTGGGAGCTTGCGAGTAAAATGGATTCAATTATATCATCCGAAGCAGATGACCACACAAACTGAGTAGTTTTAAAATATAAAGCACACCTCCAGCCAGATTACCTGAAATGGTTCCTTCTGTCGGTCATTTTAAGATTTTAATGTAGTTGTTTTGTTTTGTTTTATTTTATTTTATTTTATTTTATTTTATTTTATTTTATTTTATTTTATTTTATTGAGAGAAAAAAACTCTTTCAATAGACGTTTAAGTTTTCCTCCCATCGAAGAGGATGGGGAAACTGCCCATCCACCCCCTCTCCTTTTGCATGGGTCTTGGCAGTTCCCAGCTATGCAGCTGAACCTCACATCCATTTTAAGTATTGATAACTTATTCTTTCCTGCTGCGTCTGGCGTCCCATCTTCTGACCTAGTCAGTTGAATAAGAATTTACAGGAACACAATATTTGGGAACATGTATGACAGCTTACTCAGTTTAAAAAACACACTTAATTCAAACTCATTTAAAGCTCAGTGAAATATACCAGAACAGTGCAGAAAATTCAAAATCTGGGGGAGTTTAAATCCAAGCATGTTTCAATATGTAAGTGTATAATCGGAATGCCCACATCAATTTTTTGTTACTGTGTGAAACATTGCAATTACTCTGTATTAACTATTAACATTTACTGTCTATGATCTCAGTCTGATGTGAGGTGAAACTTTTGGTTTGGATGTATTTGTATTTTTCTGTGAAATGAAAATAAATCTGTACTGAAATATGATGGAAGATATACTGCTTCTCATACGTGAAGTAATAAAATCCATGAGGTAAAGGCAAAACTCAATTTTAACTATAATATGATTAATGCTTCAATAATATTTGATCGTTTCTGTAAATGAGATTAATGGTTAGAGTCAGAGTAATCCGTTCCATGTCTATGACCTGAATTTGCTCATGTTACTTTAAAAATTCACCGATACAAAGAAAGGTGTACTGAACGAAATATAGAGTGGCAAATCAAATCATACATTATGTGGTTCTAGATTTTAGATTTGGACTTTCTCTGGATTGTCTGTGTTGTCTTCCCAGGTTGAATAGAAAACAGAAAACCAGAAAATTGCAAGTATTCATCGCATCTTATTACCTGCACACAGATGATCTGAGCATAAATACATCCCTCTAAATTTAACTTATGCTCTTGTAATAAATTTCTTAGCAAATGTTAGACTGTGTCCAGCACAGCTCTCCTACCTGCCATCATGAAGGCATGATGGTCTAGCAAATCTCACATTCATAGTATAGCTAGTTAATATGCTGTTGCCCTCTCAAACACTATTTGCCACATGCTTCTGCTATATGGTGCTTATGTAAGTCCAGTGCTTTTTTTCAAATATGTGCAGAAAATAAGATAAAACAGAGGCTGTAGGCAGCTGGTTTTAACTTATATCTAAACATGGCATTCAAATGTTAATTGGGTGAATAAATCTTCTTCATTTTACAGACATGAAAATGTCAGTAGAATAAAACTATTTATCACAGGATAATGGTTTCTGACACCTAATAAATGCCAAGATGAAGCTACTTATTGAAAGTATATCAAAATATTCTATTGCTGTTTGCCAAAACCAAATATTCAGGAAAAACTGACATGCCTATTTTCTAAGTGGTTGACACTAATATCTTGGCATAATTCTAACATCACAACTAAAAACCTGATGCAACAATGCTATATAAATGCAGCTCAAGAAAAAATTATGGGCATGTAGGTTACCAAAATGCAGTAAAATTTTGTATGCAGAATTATGTTCCTTAGATTTTTTCCTACTCTCTCACTATGAATTGCATGTATTTACTTGAGATAACTCGTCATGATATTATTTTGGGGTTTTAAATTTATCTTATCCAGGCATTGTTTTACAAAATTAGTTTAACTTTGTACCTTACAACCAGAACAGTAAGTTGTTACTCTCAAGTGACAGAGAATAAAGATGAACAGGGAATTTAGGATAGTTTTATGTGCACTTTCTGTCAGCATTTGAGCAATGCTCTTTTAGAGTTACGGGGCCAGAAGGGGCTCAGTCACATTTTGCTGTTACTTCTTCTGTCTGCTTCCAGATAATCAGTATTTTCAGATTTACTTTTGCTATTCAGTATTAAAGATATAGCACGCTTAAGAGCTTTGACTGTGGATGGTTGTTTCCCACCCTCACAGATGGAAGACCTTTAACTCTGGATGAAATATGGAAAAGTGTTCATGCAAGCTACCAGGCTCGTCTGCTGGAGGGGCCCTGGGACACTATTACACAGCAGGTGAGAAACCACTGGTCCTTTACAAAATTGATGGATGCAATATATGCCTCAGTCCTCAATGGCCTTATTCCCCTCCTGGACACAAGTTAAATATACAAAAGTCTAACTGAGATTGTGCTGAGCTACCAGCAATAATTTTAGTTCTGGATTTTGAAGGATATATAGGTGTTCACCATGTAAGACTTAATGTGACAGTATCTCTCATTTAAAATACTTTTCCAAAACCAATCCTGAAAACTTCAGACAATTTCTGAGTAATCATGGATTTGGGTAAATACAAAAGTAGACTTGCTTATGCAAGTAAAATATATTAGTGTAACATTTCACAGATTGTCTGTTAATCAAATTACCAAAAAAGACTGTGTAATTTTCAATTTTCAATAGACTTGCAATCCTTAGGATTGAAGGAGAGAAAATTGGTCTCTCAATCAAATAATGTTATTGCTGACGAATGTCCTTAAGAATCAGTAGTTAATGAAAGCCGTGTTTTACAAGAGAAAGCAGATTAGTAAACTGGGATATCACTGCCTTCTTTTAGAGCTATTCAAATCACTTTTATTTAAAGTGGTTTTAAAGTCACCAGATCATTTCGGCAACCATTCCCAGACTTGTGATGATGGCTCTCTTGAAAACAGTCACACTTGTTCAAGGAAGAGTGAGATATGATTCAGAGCTGAGTTGGTTGCTCTGGTTTATTCCCTCAGCTCTAGGCCTCCAGTACAAGTTTGGACAAAGAATGGAAACTCACCAGGTGTGAATTTTTTATCATCAGACAAAGATAATAATGCGGCCTTTCTTCCTCCCCTTTCCTTCCTTGACTTTTTGATTTTAGCTGTTTCCAGGTACACAGGTCTCTTACCACAGCAGCTGGCACAGCAGGGATGTAACCCCAACTGAGTTCTACAGGTGTTTCCTTAATTCAACTAATACAATTTAGTTACAGGATGCCTATTGGTACTCAGTCATGGGAACACAAACAGCATTCATGTTTTTGCAGCCACGGACTATTATTTATATCATAATAGCTCCCTGAGAACCTAACAAGCGTTGGTTTTCTGATGTTTGCTCTGTGTGTCTGAATTCCAGTTGTGAGTTTGCAGATTCTCGTAATACACGCGTTTACATAAAGTATTAATTACCCGACTTGTTTACTGCAGAATGAAGATGAGAAAATGTTTTAATAAAATAACGTTTTATGGTAGCAGATAACTAATTTTCTGCACAAGAAAGTATTGCACTTCAGATTTTTCAGCACAGTTTTATGATTTATAGCTGAAGTTTCATATTTGTAGCTAAGTCATGACTGTTTCTGCATAGAGAGGCAGAGGATTCAATTAACTTTGCTTTCACTGCATCCACCTTTTTGCATTCCTAGCAGACAGAGACCAATAACCCTGCGGTCGGATGTTAGGTGTCCTTTAGGGCTGAAATCTCTGGTATTTCCCAGCTGAGCTGTTCTGACTTGTGGATAGTTTATATTCCCATCTGCAAAAATGTCCATGACAATCTGCTATGTGCACTCCAGAGGTGGTGTGCCTTCTCTATGCTCACACTATGCTGTGGCCTGAAGTGACATTTAAGCTCCTCTGTAGAAAGCACAGTCTCTTCCTATTCATCTGCAAAGCACTGTGAGAACCTACAGCTCTGTGTAATTGATAAATCATAACGCAATACTAAGAGAATAAAACATAAACAAGATGTTTGGAATGTGTAAAATGAGAGTGGTGGAAGCCAAAAGGAAAACCTCGTCACTCCCACCCAGACATTATTTTTGCCTCTTGAGGAACACTACAGTAAAACTATCCTGCATCTAACAGCTGGAGATGTGTGTGAGAAACATGCACACAAAGGCTTGCAGAAACAGGTTTTATGGGTGGTAAAGTGTGTGGAGTGCTGAACCTGTTGTCTCTGGGACACTTCTCCAGGGGTGGTTCAGCCAATGTGAGTCCAGTGACAAACTAAGATGTAAGAACTCCGGGTTCTTGGAATAGAGTTAGCAGGGCTAATTGAGAGAGCTTTAAACTAGATTTGAAGGGGGATGGGCATGTAATTGGGCTTGCTAGAGAGGTGCCTGGGGGTAGTAGCTCAGCACTTGTGGGGCATCGTGATAGTATTTTTGAGAATCGGAAGGCCCAGCACCCCTCAAGGACAAAAACTGCACACTCATTGGCCTTTCTGAAATGCCCATACACTAGTGTGCGCAGCATGGGCAATAAATAAGAGGAGTTAGAGATCTGCGTGTGGTCACAGGACCATGATCTCATTGCAATTACTGAGACGTGGTGGGATAGCTCACATCACTGGAACACTGTCATGGAGGACTATGTTCTCTTTAGGAAAGATAGGCCAGTGAGGCGAGGTGGTGGAGTCGCTCTTTATGTGAGAGAGCAACTGGAATGTATCGAGCTCTCCCTGGAAGCAGATGAAGAGCAAGTTGAGATCTTGTGGGTGAGGATCAAGGGGCAGGGTAATATGAGAGACACTGTTGTGGGTGTCTATTACAGGCCACCTGATCAGGATGGGGAAGTTGATGAGGCCTTCTACAGACGGTGAGAATCGCCTCACAATCACAGGCCTTGATTCTCATGGGGGACTTCAACTACCCTGATATCTGCTGGGAAGGCCACACAGCCGGGCACGTACAGTCCAGGAGGTTCCTCCAGTGCATTGATGATAACTTTTTGACTCAGGTGGTGGAGGACACCACAAGGAGAGGTGTACTACTGGACCTAGTACTGACAAACAAAGAGGAACTGGTGGAGGATGTAAAGGTTGGGGGCAGACTGGGCTGCAGCGATCATGAGAAGACAGAGTTCAGGGTTAAGTGCAGTATGCACAAAATGACAAGTAGGGTTGAAACCTTAAACTTCAGGAGCACTAACTTTGATCGCTTCAAGGAATCGCTTGGTCAAATCCCATGGGAGAGGGCTCTAGAGGGTAAGGGACTCAAGAGAGCTGGCTGCTATTTTAAGTGTCACTTCCTCCAAGCTCAGGATCAGTGCATCCCGAACAGGAAGAAATCAGGCAAGGGAAGAAGGAGACCTGCATGGCTGAGCAGGGACCTTCTGAAAAAGTTCAGGTGGAAGAAGGGAGTTTGCAATAGGTGGAAGAAGGGGCTGACCGCTTGGGATAAGTATAAGAATGCTGTCAGGGTATGCAGGGATGATACAAGGAAAGCCAAGGCAGTCTTGGAATTGAACCTGGCAAGGGATGTCAAGGCCAATAGGAAGGGCTTCTTTAAGTATATAGGAGACAAAAGGAAAACTAGGGAAAATGTGGGCCCGTTGTTGAA